GGGTTTCACTGCATTAGCCAGGATGGTCTCGATCTCCTGATCTCATGATCCGCCCGTCTCAGCCTCCCAAAGTGCTGGGAAAACAGGTGTGAGCCACTGTGCCCGGCCATTTTCAGGTATCTTTATAGCAATACCCCACTTCTCAGTACCAATTTTCTGTGTTAGGTCATTCTTGCACTGCTATAAAGAAACACCTGAGACTGGGTAATTTAAAAGAAAGGAGGTTTCCTTGGGACACAGTTCTACAGGGTGTACAGGAAGCATGACAGCATCTGCTTGTGGGGAGGCCTCAGGAAGATTCCAATCATGGCAGAAGGCAAATGAGGGGCAAGCAGCTTACATGGTGAGAGCAGGAGTAAGAGTGAAAGGGGAGGTGCCATACACTTTCAGCACCAGATGTCTCGAGAACTCACTATTGCAAAAGACAGCACCAAGGGGATGGTGCTAAACCATTCGTGAGAAATCCACCCTTATGATCCAGTCACTTCTCATCAGGCCACACCTCCAACATTGAGGATTACAATTTAATATGAGATTTGGTGGGGACACAGATCTACACCATATCACCATTTCTTCAATTAAGAAAGAAATAATAATCGAGAAGTCTTTGTTATTGGAATTTATGATAGGTACTGCAATAATAAAACATGAAATTTCAGGTGAATAGTGGATACTTAATAAATATCTGTTGAATGAATGAATGAAAAAAATAATCTGTTTGATTCTGCTTTATCTCCTTCTTATTTTTCATATTTTACCCCCATTTTAGTTTATACGTTATCTTTTGTGGAAAGAGAGGAAATGAAGAATCTGTGTTCACAAGATGTACAAAACTATTGAAATCTAAATACTCATGGAATTACTCATGCAGGTGTGTGTTTGCATTCTTTTATAATTTAAATTCTGTTTCATTTGATTTTGTTTTCAACAGAAATCCAAACTGTCTTTATATTGATAAGACTGGTAACTTTGCTAAACCTTTTCCTAATATTTTCAAAGCTATACTAACATGAAAACTAGATGTGTATGGATGCCTGTATTCTTTGTAAATCTTGGTATTTATTTATATTATTCAATTAAAATGCTAGCTTAATTCCTTTTCATGTGATATATTTTTGTGTACTTGGTTCTCAGTGAAATATTTAGTTATAATTGTAGACTTGTAGTAAGTTTCTGAAATATTTATAAAAAATCATTCATCTAAGTGATTATTGGCATACAATTTTTTATCTATCACTCATTAACCTTACAATTTTTAGTGTCAATAAAACTGATCCAAGATTGAGGACTATGGCAAAACCAGGTGAGCCCATCAGATATATCTATCAGATATGCAGTGACCTATTATAAAGGAATGCTTGTCATTTCCTACCTAGCATATCAATTTACTGCAATGTTATTTTCATAGAAAATGCTATTTAACAGGTCTAAAAGAAAAGTTTTCTATATTTTCTAAGTTAACTTGCTGACCTCTGTCACCAAATTATCAAAAATAATGTATTTTTAATTGCCAAAACATAAGTGTCTGCATGTGTATTTGTATATGTAGAGAAATAAAGAAAACTGCATTGTTATATTCAGTGCATTTATGTGAAATACGAAGAATGGATGAGACACCACCATCAGTACCACTCCACATCTATAAAAAGAGAAGCACTAGTGAAAAGATGTTTTATTAGAACCTGCCTTTGGTTTTTCTTGGAAGAGTAGATTTCATCAAGTTTTAGAGCAGGAATGTACTCAGTCTTTCATAGCACAATAGTGAGGGTTCAATTATTCCCCCAACTCATGGATAAATATTCTATTGTTATAAAGATACTCCATTGTTATTATGCATCCAGGGAAAGGGGGAGTAAAATCTAGAGACAGAGGTAAACTTACCATTAAAGGTAGAGATGGGATCATGAAATATTAATATTCCCACTAGTTGCTGGAAATTCCTTTCTGATTTTCCTCTATGTTTCCCCTAATGTTTCCATTCAGACCAAGACAAAAGTGAGGATGTGATTTGGAATAAAACGTGATCTCCTACGAATCCAGACTCACACAATGGCTGGACCCTCATTGGCTCCCTGAGGAACAAAGGTAGGTCAGCCTTACCACTGTTCTTAGGAACCTGGCGTTCACAGGATTGCAGGGCCCTGGTACATTTGTGAGTGAGTGCATGGGCACATGTTTACAGGAATCTCCTGTGTTATCTCTCAGACACAGATAAACTTGTCAGCCACTTACCAGGCATTGAAAACTGTTCCAGCCCCAAAATATCACCCCTATCAGTCCACCAGCCAGTCAGAAATTCTCTAGAGTTGAGTCACCCCTTATCTAGGCCAAGTTCCTGTTAAATACCAATAGTTTTAACTAGGGGAGAAGTAACAAATTAACCCATTAATAAATCTCAGCTGTTTTGCAGTCAGCAGGACTTTCAAGGAAAGGGACAGATGGCAGAATGCATGATTCCAGATTGATGCAGACCATGGGTATTGAGTGAAATGAGAATATGATGGCAGGGCACAGTGGACAATGCAATTGAATGTGGTAAGAATTAGCATCTTGCCATTTTGAAGGATCCCAAGATAAGGTTTTATCCTTGAGAGACAAGACTTGCAATAACTACAGTGCCACATCTACTGTGATAACAGCTATAAGTCAGACATTAAAACATGAGTAAAACCTAATACATTTCTTCATAAAGGTATCATCAACTAAGCTCAGAAAATCGCAATAAAAGTACACAAATAATAAAAGCACAGCAATCGATATAAAGTATCAGTAAATATTTGTCTAAATGAACAAGAATCCTTGTAGAAGTACTAGTAATGGAACACAGAATTTCAAAGAAGGCTGAAAAAGTGTATCTAGCTGTACTTGTCACTAAAGACTTTAGAAAAAATAGGCAGTTTTAAAGACTGGGTGAGATGTTAGCAGGTTGATATAAAAGGAAGGAGGAAAAGGGAGAGCATGTCTGGTGCACAGAAGAGCAGTAACCATGGCACAGGGCTGGGAAAGTTGAACAGATATTTAGGAACCTGCTTAGAGTTCACTTTGGTTAGAGCACAAGAAACATTGGAGAAACAGTGGAGAAAAAGGAAAAAGGGATAGCCCTGTTTTAAGGGAGAACACTGAAAACCATTAAATGTTGGACTAAGGTGCTTGTATTTAATGACAGAAATGCACTGAAGTTTTTATTGGAATTTTAAAAACAGAAAATGACATAATTATTACCCAAGTTAAAAAGTATCAATCCTACAAAATGGAAGTCACATGCAAGATTAGTGACAGGAAGAGACACCAGGATCCATCAGATGTCCAGGATGGATATCCAGGACATGTAGCAGAGAATCTTTAGAAAAGTGACTAGGCTGTGAGGGCAAAGAGGATGAAAAAGGGTCAGAGCAATTTTTGAGTTTCAGTTCTACAAAGCTGTCATATAGGGTAGTTTGCAGAATGGGTAAAAAGGGCAAAAGAGAAGACAATGTGGTGTTTGTTCTCGTTTGGTTCACAATGGACACAAAAAGGAAAATGTTCTCCAGGTATCCAGTGAAAGATTTTGGTAGGCAGTGGAAAATGTAGCTTTTGGATTCAGGAGGTTATCAGGTATAAAGGACAATTTCTGTGTGGGATTTACAGGGAAGTCGACAAGGGTTGACTAAGAAGCCAATTGGAGGATCCAGGTAAGCTGGGGAACATGTGAATTATCGTGATCTCCAAGTTTACATGAGAGACTTTAGGAATTACTCAAGTATGAGAATTAGCAAAATGCTCAAGTAGATGAGGGAGAAAATCACAGAGAAAAAAATGTCTCAATAACTCAATTAACTGGAATCATTTAAAAATCACTAGGGCAATTCCTTGCTGGCAAGCTCAGTTGTTTTCTAGAAATGATGCCATATGATGCTACAACCTTTATTTCTAGCTTCTCATCTATAAATTACCTCTAGAATCTTAAAAAACGAAAATAAAGTTCATCTTCTAGCTTAAAGGAAAATATCTGTGTTCATGTGAGGCCGACTCTTGCTTCGACCCTTATTACATGGAACACATGTGTCCTCTTGTGCCCTAAACAGGTGTGGCTTCATCAGGGTTTCCTTCCTTCCTTCCTTCCTTCCTTCCTTCCTTCCTTCCTTCCTTCCTTCCTTCCTTCCTTC